TCTTGAGCCTCAAGTATAAAAGCTGAAATGTTGAAATGAAATTAAAAACATGGATTCCCAAGAGGTAAAATAAACACTACATTTACTGCCAATGGGAAAAGACCATTTTGGAAACAAGACCACAGAAAATGGTGCCTACAGTGCCACTTGATGGCTTATTCTGGGAGTGCATTCTGACAGAGCCAAACCCATGAGATATCAACCAGCCCTTGGGCTTCTGCTACAGCACACCTGGAAGCTGTTTGATAACTCTGGTGCAGAAGGGAAGAAAAAACTGCACAAGCACCTTGTATTAAGGTATCTTTTCAGCTTCAGAGGTTTTTATTTTACAATGTCAAAATGTGCTTTGTTTTTTTTTGTTTGGTTTTTTTTTGTGGTTTACGTTTTTGTTGGGTTTTTTAAACATAATCTTCTATGTAAGGCACTGAGAAACAGGGAAGGCAATCACAAAGAACTGGAATGACCTTATAAACTGTTCAAAGGTATTTATACCCTTATTTCCACAAAACAAGTGCCTCATACCACATGAACTATTCAAGCAGTAGTCTTAGAAGTCCTTGTGAATCACCTGTTGGAAGAGGAGCAGGAAAAAGACCACAGCTTTTCACAGAAAAGTAACTGGGAGACATGGAACCTCAGGATCCATTCCCAGCTGTTTTCTTGAGTGTTGTATGGTTCTGTACTTGCGGCACAGATCATCCCCTTTCCACTATCCCTTTCAACTCTACAGCTGTCAAAATAAGTTACTGTAAGGGAAGTCCAGCTCAATCCCCAGTGTTTATCCTGTTCTTGGAAATGGGTTGAACCACTTTATCCCATAACAACAATATCACCCCACCAACCTTGCCCAGAAGGAGCAACAGATTTGTAAAAGCACAAACTGAATTTGTAAAATTTCAAATGAGTTACCTATAGTATTTGATCACATAATATATGGCCTATCAAGTAAAAGCCAAACAATAAGCTCAGCAGTACTACAGCAAGTCTCAAACTTAGTTGTGAACTTAAATCCCTGCACCTCACATTGCCAGAAAGCTGACTTCTCAGCAGGAGGATGTAACAAGCTACACAGCAGCATGACAATAGAGTAACCCTCAATGAAAGGAGGCTCAGAACTGTCGAATGACATGCCAAGTGTCCTTACTCTGATGTTACAGGTTAATTATCTGCATCCCATGAAAGTCTAAGGATGAAACATAATTGGAATTCAGATATCTGCATTTAATAAGATGATTAGTTACAGCTTTATTTTGGGACAACTGTAATTAGAGTTACAGCTAATGAGCTCGGAAGATGACAAGCAAAAATCTATCAATCACACATTAAACGTGAGCATAAACAATGATGAAAATGCTTCTCTTGTTAGTTTCAAATGTACTTTTAATTTAAGTATGCTAATTGATGTCTCATGGGTATCAGTGTCTGTGTAGTTATGGAAACCTGTAGTTTAACAACAAGCATTTTATCTATTGGGATGAATGCTTGATCTTATTATAATTAATTTCTAACTATTTAGAACAAATAGGAAGGTACTGTGAATTCTGAACATACACAGTCTCCAAGGATATCTATGTGTTGACAAGCCTAGCGTCTCAGAACTCACACTTGCTGTAGCAGGTGTTTCAGTTCACTCACTGTACAGCTCCAAACCACTTCTACCACAACAGGAATTCCAAATAGTATCTACCATTACCACAGACATATAAATCCTTTCAAAAGTATCTTATCCAGCCTGTTGGCACCAGGAAGAAGGATGTGGGGCTACTACACCTCAGAGGTTGGTTATCATCCTGCAAGCAGAGGCGGGAGAAGGGAAGGCATCCTCATCCTCAGCATGTCACCATCTGGTATCAGTGTAACCCGTTTTCACTGGGGATCTGGGGAAACATACTTGGGCACTGATGGAGGCAACTGGAAAGACTTCATTTCCCTTATGCTAACCCTTTGCTGGAGGCAGTGAACTTCCAGGGGCTCAAGGAGGAACAGAATCCATTTCTTTAAGGATGAAGCCAAATTAGCACAGTACATCAGGAACCTGCTTTTCTTTGCAACAAGAAAAGTTTAATGAGTTGTCAACAATAAGTGATATTTTTGCCACATTTTTTGATAAATATACACACAAAGCTATATAGGCAGTATTTTGATCTAAACGATACCCATTTTAGTTTGCTACAAGTCATTAGAAATTAATTTATTTTCAACTAAACAGAAATCCACAGATATTTGAAAATATTAATCTAAGTCTATTTAAATTAATTCAGCTGATGAAATTTTTTTTTTTTGAGGATACAATTAAAATACTACCTGTGGGAATCTGAGACCTTCTACTCATTAATAAAAAGATGAGGTAAGAGAAAGGAGCAACTGGAAATGGAAAGTGAATGACTGTTAATGTTCTAATTATCCACTGAACCACTGTAAATAATGCTGAAGATGCTATCATAGGGTAATGATAAACAAAACTGATATTTTGCAAGAACTCTCCCCAACTGTTGCCTATGTGGGACAGGTTTTGTTGCAGCTGTTTCAGGTATTTTTGTACAGTAACACATTATGATTCTGGCCCTTGAAAAGAAATCTCTATTTTCACAACTGAGGAAGACAGATTTTTTAAATAATAAGGCACTCACATCAAACATTTATCATTTGAAATAAGAAACATCATATAATGACATAAACAGCGTGAATCCTATTTCAATGTAATGACTCTCTGTGCGACATCACCTATAAGCACAAATCAGTACACTAGCTGGTACAGCTTTCTACATCAAATAAAGTTCCTGCTTCAAAAGAAAAATTCTGCCTAGTTTTTCAAGGAATTAACACTATTACGGTAAGGGCAGAAGAGGAAGCAACAACAACGATTCAAAATCAACTGTTTGGTATCAACCATGACGGAAAATAAAGTTCACACAAAATCACTTCCTGAGTTGCTGATCATTTTTTCTCTTTTCACCTTCTTTCACCAGCTGATCCAGTTCCACCCAGAAGAGCCAGACAATGCCCTGGATCGCATGAATGTACCAGATGGTGCCTGAGGCACAGATTACGTTTCAGTAGGTGACAGAACAGGGTACTTCATAAGGTCAAAGTGGACATAGCCTCACCTGTGTCAGTTATTCTTCAGCATTTAATTATGGCCAGCAGCTGAAGCTAGCTATGAGCAATCCCCTTCAATAGTACAATAAAACTAATTCCAGTGTAAAATTATTTAGGACTGCCAATCAAAAAAAAAACAGCCCTAGACTATTTATTTTCTTAAACCTTAGAACCTGCAAGTTGTCAGTGCTTTCTTCAACAGTAGTAATTCAAGGTACAATTATGAGTTTAAGACTATAAAGTCTGTAATCAGCAATCCAAGTAGGTTTCAAAAAGACATACCCTTAACTACAAGCACACAAATGCAAGTACAGGAATGTTTCATAGTTTTTCTACAGCTTTCAATTTTAATGCCAACATTTTTAGTCTCATTTGGATTTAAATAAATCTGTTATTTATAATTAAGTTGTTTATATTTATAAGATGACAAGAGATGCATTTCATAAGAGAAGTCTACTGTCCCATCTAAATTATTTAATTATACAACTCACTTGGTAGAGCTAATTCGCTGGATGGCTACTAGGAAGGGATTTTATTCCATCACTTTACTCTTGAGAGACATAGACTTAAAATTTTTAAGTAGGCCAGCTGATGGAAGGTATTTGTGTGGCCATGTAAGTTCAAATGTACTTCAAATTGTGCAATGAAAACAGCTCATGCTGCCATCAAACTTGTTATAATATTGGCTTTACATTGTCTTTTAAATATGCTCTTAAATATCTTACAGCTTTGACATTCCCCATTACAATTCTGCTCACAGACAGAATAAGGCTACTTAAGTGACATATCATATCTGATTCCAGGAAGAATGATATGCAAAGCTGGTATGTGCAGCTAGGTTAAATGAAAACCAGTGATTACTAAGCTTCTTACATTCAGATCTGAGAATTAAATCTCTCATAACAAAATGCTGGATGTCATATAGATTGCAGCAGAATTTATATTCTTTTAAAACTGATTTCTTAAGTGACAGATGCAGGAAAAAGAAAACTAATTGTATATCCTTGACAAGAAAATAAATGTTGACTTATTAGCTGCTGAGTCACAGGGAATAAAAGTCCTACAAATAAATGATACAAGCTGAAACACACCTTTTATTGGGTGCTTGTGCAGACTAAAGGCTTAGATCTTTTTAAATCTACATAAATAAAGACTAAATGAGTTTGAATGCATTCTACTTAAAGGATTCATGTTAACATTCTGACTTTTGGTCCTTATGCTATTAAGCTAAAGAAGGTATTTCTAAAATCTCTAATGGAACAAAACTAAGGTACTGGGAGCAAACACCATTCCCTGATCCTACAACCAGGATGGGGAGGGTGGGGTTTTTTATTTGTTTGGTTTTTTTTACTGTTTTGCTTGTTGGTTAGTTTGTTTTTTTTTGTTTGGTTTTGGTTTGTTTTTTTTACTGATTAGACTAAAATGAAATAGTTTAAATTTGCAGGCATAGAAGACAAAAGCTGCTGAACATTAAGTTAATGGCTGAACTTCAGAGGTCTTCAAGTAAATTTCTTAGAAGTGTTTAACTCCGTAAAGATAATTCTTCCCTGTGGCTGTCTTACTAAAATTCAGAAAAGCTTTTTCTGCTATATAACCTTGGTTCTTTGGAGATACAACCTCAATAGCCCTTTAGCACAGACTTCAAGCTTTTCCCTGAACAGAGCTCAGAAGTATCAACTGATCAAGTAAAACCTACAGGGAAAAAAAATAAAACATGAAATCCATACAAACAATCACATCCCCTCAATCCCAACAATAACTCAAACCAGACACATCCATATAGCAGAGAAGAAAAATGTCTGGTTTAAATTATGGCTTAAAACACACTGTATCTAAGAGCTTAACACGCATAAGATATGTTAGAACTGCATGTGTGCATATTCCGTTAAAGATTTCCTCACCTCTCCCACAACTTCAATGATGTCACCAACTTTTAACTCCAGTTCATCTTCATTTTGAGGCATGTAACTGAAAGCCACCTGACATCTTCTTCTTCTGTTTCTCTCTCCTGGTGGAAATAAAACAGGGAAACTGTAAAATGAAAACAAAATTCCATGCCAAACACAAGCCAGGAGAAACAATTAAAGATTATTCTTTGAGCACTGTTAAAATAACTGGAATGTTTACAATGCTTAGTATATCTGATTAGAATTAACTTACAGAGTGTGGAGAAAAGATTTCTGGTGCATATTATTTCTTTCAATTCTTTTTATAATTCAGTGAAATTAATAAATGACAAGAAATTGTGGGGATTTTTTTCTTTCTGCAATATTACTCAGGAGCCAAAATTTAACTAATAGATTGTGCTTCCTAGTGACGGGATGGGTAAACTTTACCCAGACGATCTTTCCAAACGTATCTGCTACAAGTTCTCTTCTATGCTAATACTCCATATACATGGTACAGGCAAATCCTGACAATAAAGGGATGGGAAAGGGATCCAAAAGGGATCCAAAACCTTGTGGATTTTGCTCATATGGAAATAACTCTCAACTGATTACTTTATCCTGTATCTTTTTCTTTATAATTCATTTACAGGTGTACAAAGAACACTTTTTTTTGAATATATATTCTTTTACATATACATATATACACACACAGTTATATATGTATACACACATATTTGTAAGGCGCATATTTATGCACTAATATCGGATTAAATAAAACCTATCCCAAAGGACCCCCAATGCTAGGTACGTCATTGGGTGAGTGTGGTTAAGGCAGCCTAATTTTGAGAATCAACCAGGTACTGGAAATTATGTTACCAGCCATCTTTTTTTTTCATTTGTCCAGGATGGACGTGACGTTGGATGCATGACTGGAGAGAGGCTTGAACTCATAACTCTGAATAAGAGTAAACCCTCTTACCTGAGCCTTCTGACATCACAGTTTTAAGACAGACAGGTAAATGAAAAGACTCAGTTCCAGAACTGTTTGCCACATCTGCTGGCTAATTTATATGCGATTTGTAGCAGAGCAGATGAGAGAACTTCCCTAAATTAAATTGCCAAGGCTTGCTGCTGAGCCTCTATTAGCTGAAGGACAGCTTACTGACATGAATCATTACCCTGTTGGAATGTGTTGGAGGAGAGTAGGAAACTAGAAATCATTCAAAACACACAATTCACTGATTACTCCCTCTTCTCTAGAAAATGTGCAATGTATAAACCATACTGTTCTGTATATTTACAAACAGGTATCCCCACATATACACACACTCTATGCAAATAACTCTACTTTCTCTTATGCTATTTCTCTTAACTGCTAAACATGCTCAATACACACCCAAATCAGTTGTACAAACTCTGTCCAAGAATGGCCTTAATCTGACATTAAATCACAGAAATGTGTCTTATGGTCAGTCTATTACTTCTCCTGCAACATTTCTTGATAATCCTTCTCTAGGTTGAACAGGAACAAAAAATTACAGAACTTCCCCTTTTTTTATTCTATTAATTGAAACTAGAGAAAGGAGAAGTGATTGAATTTGGCTTTCTGACAGTATTTTTCACATCCACTGCAATCCTGCATAAGTGGCAGTTTACTGAATCCTAAAATTTGTACCTTAATGCCATATAACCAAACTTGCTCAAATTGGCTCTTTTTTCCCACCTACAAATGACTCTTCGTTGTTCACCATCTAAATTAAAATGGTCTTAAACCGACAACTTTATACAGCTGTATTCAAAATAACTTAAATATAACAAATACCTTCCTTATTGGGTGCTTCTTTCATTGTGCAAAAGAGGCTGGCTATTCTACCTAAAGATAACATCCCCACTATGATTTCTAACATCAAATAGCAACCTATGTGCTGATGTTGCCTGCTGTGACAGATATCAGTTGCCACCCCATTTAATAATCAATATTGTGTGACTCTTGGAGAATATTTTTGAGATTGCTAAAAGAATAAGTAAATACAATTCTGAATGTTAGTAACAGAACTATATGAATCCTTCCTCCTCCCACCCCAGAAAGTTTATTACTGTATAGAAAATTTAGTGAAAGTCTGCATTTATCTCCATTAGTCTCACGGCTGTCTCACTGATCTCCCTCTCCTCCTGATGCTTACAAATGTGAACAACAGGCTTTGCTAATCCAACTCCTTTTGGTGTTTATTCTAGGATTCACCTATCTAATTGTAGAAGTCCCTGAATCAGACGTCTAAATCTGAGCCTATCAGTCAGGAGTGAAGAGAACCTAATACATCCTGAGGGTATTTAGTGTCACTGTAAAATAGACAACTAATATACATCAGATGAATGACTGGAGGTGCCTTTTTCTACTGGTAAAGCTAGATCAGACCTCAGCATCTAACTTTTTAAAGTCTAAAGTTAGGTCAAACGGGAAAAGGAATGAACATATATTCAGAAACTAGAAACAAACAAATCTTTGAGGGTATAAACCTAATTTGTTTCAAAGTGACGTCTGATCAGATTCTAAAAATGGTATGGTTGCCTGTGACAGCAGGAGACCCTAGAAGAGCTTCCTCCAGCTGTACACATGCAAGAGAGCATGATTTCCAGACACTTAAACACCCTTCTGGCATTAGCAATGAAGAAAAAAGAAAGAGGTAATGACAACTCACTGGCATACAATACTTACCTTTGTAAGGGTCACCAAAAGCTGAAGCAACGTTACACAGGAGGTCACACTGGTACTTACATACTGCTGTCAGACGCAGGAAAGGTCACAAACTGACAACGCAGGATTAGATGAAAAGTGTGGCAGAAGCAGAATAGACAGGAAGCAAACTATTTCAAAATGAACTGGAATGTTCCAAGCCAAACTATTTTTTTTAAACTTGAAACCTCCCTCATGAAACAGATCTTTATATAAATAAGTGTCTGAATGGATTAGATGGTATTTTTTATAGAGCCTACTTTTCACTGATGCCAATGTCTGTACAGCCTGTCCTGTCAGTGAAAACCACATTGTTAACTTCACCAGCAAAATGTCCATCAACTTTACATACTAATACACATTTTTCCCCCCCCCGTCACAAGATAGCAGTACAGCAACCTGCTTCATAACACAGCACAAGTATTTTATAGAGTCAAAAAAACTATAGTCAATAAAAAGTTCAGAGACAGACCCATGGAGCAAATGTCTGTTTCTCTTCCTTTTGACAATATGTAGATCTAAATGGCTGACAATCTCTTCAAAACTAGGCCTCATAGTTTTGTACTTGGATCTGGTTTATATCATGCATATCATTTATATCTGCATCAATATCACTGTGGTAAAGACATTTCTCCCACATCTAAAAAAATTTCAAATGCACTAAAGCACATAGCTCCTTCAGACCCATGGACTTCCCTCTAGTGCAGACTTGCTGAGCAGGCTCAGGTGAACCATGGAAGGAAACTGAGATCCACTGAGCACCATTCAAGTAGATGCAAAGTGACTGAACTCAGTAAAACCATACAGGAAAGAAGTCCCTTTCAGGCAAGTCTATTAGGAAGAAAATGACAAGTTGGAGGAAAAGTTTCCTGCCTTTTTGCAGACTTTCCTGCACGCGGCATCATCTGCCTTCTGTCTCAGTTGCACTTCCCATCCTTCCAGCTCTCAAAGCTGTATCTGTAGCTGGGGGAGAACTGGTTCAGTGCACAGTGTCTCTTGGTTAGACAAGCTGGGCTGTGATATGACTCAGCTAGAAAGCAGTTCTAAATTTGATGTGCCGAACGACAAAAGGCAACTATTGTTCAACTAAGAGGTGATGTATATGCTTTTAGGTTGCATGCTACTGATTTTAACGGTACTGATGGAGTTCTGGTACAGATGTTTTGGACTGCCAGCCTAGATGGTTACTGTACCATCTTTTATTATAAATCACTGAATTGTGTGTATTAAAATGCAAAAGCTTGAGCTACAAGCTTACTTCTGAGAAAAATTCTTAAATCCACTACCCTCCATAAATGCTTTTGAAAAACAGAAGTCACTTAATTAAGAGCAAACAGACAGCATTAAAATTTTATCTTTTTAAATTGCTTTTTTTAAAGTATAATGAAGATAGTGTTAAGACTTCAGATAAAGTCTTAGTCACACTCAATTCTAATGTAGATTCTGTCACTACCTTCTATAACACAAGAACTCCACCATTTTATATCCACCCGCTAGGAGAAATACAATGCTGATTTTAAAAAGCACCAGAAGTCTCAGCTTCCAATTTCCTTCTTTTCCTGGGGGATTTGGGAAATATTTCTCTGACTTGGGATATGACATGCCAATTCCAACTGTCTCATCACTGACATGCTGTTGAAAGGGTGAATGCTTTCAGATGTGTGACAAAAAAAACACAACCAAACCTGCTGAGGTCTGTTTATTCCCTGTCTAGCAGAAAACAGAAGTAAGCTGGGTGCAAATATTTGGGGGGGGGGAGGGGAGAGGAGAGGAAGAAGGAAAGGGGACATAACACACACACTGTTTGGTTTGGGTTTTTTGTGGTAGTTTGGGGTTTTAGGGGGGATTTGTTGGGGTTTTTTGTTTTTTTTTAAAAATCTGTGACATTAAAATACCAGAGAAGAGAACAAAACTGCAAGGAGGATTGAGGGGAGACAGAATATCTGAGGTGCTTCCAGTACACTACCAAACTGGTTATATAAAGCTGCTGCATTTTCTCACAAGCAGATGAACTGGGAAGTGTCCTGATTTGACATGTGCAGCTGAATCACAGAGATTGCAGGACTCCATTAAGCACAACTAAGCCAAAATGCAAAATACCATTGTTGCTAGTAATATATGACTCCAAGTGTGTTAATGTCCTAGTGTTACCAAGGAGTAGGTTTTCTTTTGCTAGACTCCACAGAAACACTTCCAGGTATTAGCCATCTGGCTGCTGCTTTGAATTTTATGACCAAGGTCTGTCTGTGAGGAACCTGAAAGCCTGGAAGATACATTTTTGTTACGCTCTTAAGTCATAACATATGCACCATCAGAATATCAGCAAACCTCATGCTGTTCAATGAATTCATTCTTTTCTTAAAAACATGCAGCAATATTCAGGCC